GAGCATGTCGAAGTTCTTTACTTTCTGCAGCAGTTTAAATTTTGTTTTTGCAAACTAAAACTCAAAGCTGGAAAACGAAAATGTGAACTGAGAAAAACGAATTTGAAAAATCTCTTTTCATCAAAAAAGTGACAATTCATTGAAATGGGTCTCCACTTTGCATGAGCAACTTTTTCTCGTTAAAAATTTTTTCTTATTAGATCAATTTTTTTCTATTTCAGAATTTTATTTGGTACATACTATCATATGGATCACAGTTGAGATATATAATTAGAACAAAAACTTCAATAGTACCACTTTATAAAAAATAAAAATAATTATGCACTTGTAGGAGCATTCAGTTTTTGATGCAAAGACTTGTTTTTCAAGATTTTCTTTTTTTCTTGTTCTCTTCAATTTTGAAATTCTTCTTCAATCGCTTCATCGTGCAAAGAAAATTGGCAAACTGAAAACATATCTTATATCGAAACATTGAGCGATTAGTTATTGGAATATTTAAAACAACTTGAAACGGGTCTTTGAATATTGATGGTGCGAAAATGAAGAAATGAAAAAAAGCACCATATTCTTACCACGATTAGTCGTTCTTTAATTCAAAACTGATTAATTTAAGGAATTTTTGACCACAAAAATCAAAATAGATTAAAAATGCGCGTTGTACGTACTCCTTTTTAAGCATATTGGTGCGTTGTAAATTGGACTTGAGATGAGCAAGTTTTTTCTATCATCACCTTGTTGTTGTGAGTTACTTTTTTTAAACATAACGTTTGAGACAAATTGAAGGGGTCAGAATGAAAAATATTGTGACAACAACAAAATGAGCTGTGTGAAACAACCAGCAATGTAATTTCTCCCCTCTCCCCATCAAAGCGTGAGCGGTAAACTAAAACGTTAAAAATTGACTGGAGGAGAGTAGTTTTTCTTGTTTTAAAAAATTTTTACACAAAACTTCTCTCCTACAATCAATTTTTACCGTTTTAATTTACCGCTGCCGCTTTGATGGGGAGAAATTACATTGCTGGTTGTTTCACACAGCTCATTTTTGTTGTTGTCACAATATTTTTCATTCTGACCCCTTCAAATTTCTCAAACGTTATGTCTAAAAAAAATAACGCACAACAATGTGCTGATAGAAAACATGCTCTTCTCAAGTCCATTTACAAAGCACCAATATGCTTGAAAAGGAGTAATTACATTGCGAATTTTTTAACCTAACTTGATTTATAGTCTAAAAATTCTAAACCTAAATAAATTTGAAATGAAGACCGACTAACGGTGGTGAGAATATGGTGCTTTTTTTACTCTTCTTTTTCCAACCACCAATAATGAAAAAACCGTTTTAACTGTTGTTTAAAATACTTTTATAACTAAACGCTTCAGGCTACGATATAGGATATTTTGCTCAATTTGTCGAATTTCTTCGCATTATGAAGCGATTGAATCAGTTTTTCAAAATTGGAAAAGGAACATCGAAATTTGAGGGCGAGAATTGAAAGACATTTTTGAAAAACCAGTTTTTACAACAGAAAATTGATGCTCCTATAAGGTGGATCACCACATCGCATAATCCTTTTTTTAATGAAGAATTAGTTTTCAAGGTTTTGTTCTAATTATATTCCTCAACTGTGATCCATATGATAATGTGTACCAATTGAAATTCTGAAATAGAAAAATCAATCTACATATAAAAATTCTCTAATGAAAAAAAGATGCTCATGCAAAGCTGGGACCCATTTGGAAGATGTATCAATTTTTTGATGAAGAGACGTTAAGCAAAGAAGTTTTGCAATTCACAATCGAATCTTCTACAACAGAATTTCAGTTTGGAAAAACATTTGAACTACTTCATAAGCTAAAGAATTTTGTCATGTTCAACGAACTAAAAAACTTACACAATATTTTTTCCAGCTAACTTACAAGAAAAATTTCTGCATTTATTTTTTTAACGTTTGAAACAACTAAACTAAAAAAAAACAGAACTTTTAAAAATCTCGCTGGGAGGGAGAGGAGTGGGAAAAAGCCATGAAATATCAACCATGAACAAAATCTCAAAAAAAACACATTGAGCTTGAAACTAGTTTGCTGCTTTTCAAAAAGTTATAGCGCAGTATGATTTATTCAACCTCAGTGTAGACAGCGAACTGTTTTTATCCCGACTGAATTCACGCAGTCAATTCGGCCTTTTTTCTTTTTCTGTTTTTTTTTCCATTTCAAGTGATAAGTTTTGTGTAAAAACTTTTAAAAACAAAAACAATTACTCTCCTCCAGTCAATTTTTAACGTTTTAATTTACCGCTGACGCTTTGATGGGGAGAAAATACATTGCTGGTTATTTCATACAGCTCATTTTTGTTGTTGTCACAGTGGTTTTCATTCTGACCACTTCATATTGTCTCAAACATTATGTTTTAAAAAAATTAAGCATAACAAGGTGTTGATAGAAAAAACTTGCTCTTCTCAAGCCCATTTACAACGCACCAATATGCTTAAAAAACGAGCAAGTACATTCAGCATCTTTTAACCTAATTAGGTTTTTGTGGTCAAAAAAACCGAAATTCAATCAATTTTGAAACAAAGAACGACTAATTGTGGTGAGAAAATGATTAATTTTTCTACTTTTCTTTTTCCTACCACCATTGTTGAAAAAACCGTTTTAACAGATGTTTTAAATAATTTTTAACCAAACGCTTCATGCTACGATATAAAGTATTTTGCTCCACTTGACAATTTTCTTCGCATTATGAAGCGATTAAAGCACTTTTTCAAAACTGAAAGAGAACAACAAAAATTGGAAAAATTTTTCAAAAAAAAACAAGTCATTGCATCAAAAATTTAACACTCCTATAAAGTGGACCCACGTCGCATAATCAATTTTGTTTTTTAATAAAAAAGTTATTTTTCAAGGTTTTGTTCTAACTATATCCCTCAACTGTGATCCATATGATAATGTGTACCCAATGAAATTCTGAAATAGAAAAACAATCTATATATAAGAATTCTCTAATGAAAAAAGATGATCATGCAAAGCGGGGACCCATTTGGAAGATGTATCAAGTTTTTGATGAAGAAACGTTATACAAAGTAGTTTTGCAGTTCAGAATCCCATCTTCTAACTTAGAATTTGAGTTTGGAAAAAAAAACATTTGAACTACTTCATAAGCTAAAGACCTTGACAAGTTCAACGCACTAAAAAATGTAGATAAAAAATTTTTGAAGCTAACTTACAACAAAATGTTCTGCGTTTATTTTTTTAAACGTCTGAAACAACTAAAAAAACGTAACTTGGAAAACTCTCGCTGGGAAGGAGTGGGGTGGTAAAAAGCCACGAAGAGTCAACCATGAAAAAAATCTCAAAAACAGCACACTTTGAGCTTGAAACTACTTAGCTGCGATGATAATAGTAATATCGCAGTATGTGTTGTTTTTGTTTAATCTGAGCGTAGACGGCGAACTGTTTTTGTCCCGATTGAGTTCTTGCAATGAATTCTGGCTTTTTTCTGTTTTTTTTTTCACTTAAATGATACGTTTTGTGTAAAAATTTTTTAAAACAAAAAGAATTGCTCTCTTTCAGTCAATTTTTAACATTTTAATTTACCGCTGACGCTTTGGCGGCGCGAAATTACATTGCTGGTTATTTCACATTTCTCATTTTTGTTGTTGTCACAAAAGTTTTCATTCTGACCACTTCATATTGTCTCAAACGCTATTTTTGAAAAAAATTGCTCAAAACTTTTACATAAAACGTATCACTTTAAATGAAAAAAAAAGTAACAAAAAAAAGCCAGAATTGATTGCAAGAACTCAATCTGCACAAAAACAGTTCGCCGTCTACGCTTAGAATAAACAAAAACAAAACATACTGCGATATTACTATTATCATCGCAGCTAACTAGTTTTAAGCTCAAAGTGTGCTGTTTTTGAGATTTTGTACATGGTTGATTACTCGTGGCTTTTTACCACTCCTCTCCTTCCCAGCACTTGTTTTCAAAGTTGCGTTTTTTTGGTTGTTTCAAACGTTACAAAAACTAAACGCAGAATACTTTGATGTAAGTTAGCTTGAGAAATCATTTTCTAAAACTCTTATTTAGCTGAACACGTCAAAGTTCTTTACTTAATGCAGCAGTTTAAATTTTGTTTATGCAAACTAAAACTCAAAGCTGGAAAACGAAGTTGTGAACTGAGAAAAACGAATTTGTAAAAATCTCTTTTCATCAAAAAAGTGACAATTCTTTGAAATGGGTCTCCACTTTGCATGAGCAACTTATTCTCGTTAAAAATTTTTTATTCTCAGAACAATTTTTCTATTTCAGAATTTTATTTGGTACACACTATCATATGGATAACAATTGAGGGATATAATTAGAACAAAAACTTCAAGAGTAACCTCTTTATAAAAAAAAATGATTATGCGACGTGGGGATCCACCTTGTAGGAGCATTCAGTTTTTGATGCAAAGACTTGTTTTCCAAGTTTTTCCTTTTTTTCTTGTTCTCTTCAATTTTGAGAAACTTCTTCAATCGCTTCATCATGCAAAGAAAATTGGCGAACTGAAAACGTGTTTTATATCGATACTTTGAGCGTTTAGTTATTAGAATATTTAAAACAACTTGAAACGGAACTTTGAATATTGATGGTGGGAAAATGAAGAGTTGAAAAAAGCACCATATTCTTGCCACGATTAGTCGTTCTTTAATTCAAATCTGA